CTCACTGGAGATAAAACTTTTGAAGATTCGCACTTCTAAAACCTCCATTTTTCTTCATGGTTAAGTGATAGCTGACTTCATATAGAATTCCATTCATATACAATTACAGGTTGCAGCCTCTGAATTTTTAATCTAACTTTTGTGTCTTCCAGTCTTGTGTTGAATCAATTTTTATTCTCTATTCTTAGATATGACCTAGTGTTTCCTTCTGAAAAAAACAGCTTTTTCTGAGTGGTGTTAAAAGAATCACAGAAATGTGTTTTGAGGTGAGGAGTGAGTGGGTTATTCAATGTCATATTATTCATTTCTAGGAAATTTTCTTGTCCTATTGCTTTGATTATTTTTTCCTACTGTGTTCTGTCTCATTCTGCATATCTATTAGTTAGGTGTCCTGGATCGATGCTTTAACATGCTTTTCCATTCTCTCATATTTGTGTTCTTTATCCTTTCCGATACATATACACTACTTAGGTTTCATAATTTTGCTTTGAGTTCCAACTCATTCTTATTTTTTTCCAGAGGTTATATTTTTAATTTTTCCAGATCTCTGTTTTACTTGGGATATTTTTAATCCATGAGGAGGTGAAGAGATCTTGGTAATCTGGGCCCTCTGAAGACCCATGAAAGGATCCACAGGAGAAAGATCTGCCTGTCCCAGAGAATCTACACTAAATGCAAAAGAATTTGAGTTAGTTAAGAACTTTCTTGTCTCTTGTCTCACCTAATTTTAGGCCCTAACTCTGCCAGAAATTATGGTTAGTAGCAGGAGTGAAAACACAGGAGTGAAAGAAAGGAGAAGTCTTAATCTGAAACTATACAGGCCTGAATATGCTAATTTCAGAATGGAGACATTAGACTTCATATCCCAGGAAATGGAGAACCTTTGAAGGTTTGGTTGAAATAAACCACGGAAGACACGGAGCTTTGTGTTCAGGGTGTTGACTTTTCGTAGAGAGCAAGATGGATGCAGGGAGAAGCCATTCAAGGAGGAGTCCCTGGGCAGAGAGTGGTAATCTGTGTCCAGGGGAACAAATGGAGGTCTCAAAGACAAAGTCAAAAGACTCTGCATACATTCATCCTTTGTTCTTGGTTAAACACAGTTGTGAGTTGAGTCAGAGTTACTAGAAAATTAGACATATGTCAACAAAGAAAAATCTAGGAGTCGAATCAAACAGTGAGTGGACACCAGATGTTGTTTGACTTTGAGGTGTCAACAACTCTGGAGGAGTATGTCCAGGGGAGATTGAACTACAGGCCCGGCTCCAATTTAGTTATCTTTCTGCCACGTCAGGGAGCTATAGCCTGAGGAGTCTCTGTGTGTGCACATGTGCATGTGTGAGTGTGTGTGTGTTTGGTAAAATATACATAAGATAAAATTTATTATTTAAACTTTTTAAATGTACAATTCCACCACATTAAGTATATTCGCAATGTTGTAATGGCTACTCATTTGCAGCAGTCATCTCAAACAGAAACTCTGTATGCAGTAAATAATCACTCTGTCAACTTCTCTCCTCCCAGCCCTTCCTTTGCGGTCTTGCTTTGTCTCACCACACACTCTGTAGCAGCAGCTCATGAAGGAATATGTTCCTGTTTATTTATTTATTTATTTATTTATTTATTTTTTTTTAAGATTTTATTTATTTATTTGACACGGAGAGACACAGCGAGAGAGGGAACACAAGCAGGGGGAGTGGGAGAGGGAGAAGCAGGCTTCCCGCAGAGCGGAGAGCCCGATGCGGGGCTCGATCCCATGACCCTGGGATCATGACCTGAGCCGAAGGCAGACGCCTTAACGACTGAGCCACCCAGGCGCCCTATGTTCCTTTTTATTTAAAAATAAAAACCTTAATTTTATTAGTTTTATAAGAGAGGAACTAATGGATACCCCTGAAATGAGCAGGATTGAAGGTTTACAGCAGTAGCTAAGGAAAAGTCTCAAGGCAGGGGTTGACTGGCTGGCAGAGTGGGAAGAGCATGGGACTCTTGATCTCAGAGTCATGAGTTTGAACCCCATATTGGGTGTACAGATAACTTAAATAAGAATAAAACTTAAAATAAAATCCAAAATGTCTCATGGTGACCACCACGGTGATGCTGGGGGTTCTCTGGGTATTACGGAGATTCTTGTCCTTCTCCCCCCATTGACGGGCACCTGCCTCTCCAGTCACTGGGCCACAGACACCTAAAGGAGATGGAGATGAAGAAAGGAGGACTGCATGGGTTCTGCCTGCAGAGTATCTGTATTTTGGTCCTGGTGGCTGTGGCGAGCAGTCTGGGCATCAGTTGCTTTTGAAATCTGAATTGATCTAACACAGAGCCAGGGTTGAGGAACACTTGAGGAAGACATTCTTCATCTCCACATTCAATGGTGGTATTAATCTTTTATTTTCCTGGCTGCTAGTAGGGACTAAGAGAGACAGAACATGTAAACCTTCCAGGATAATGACTAGCCCATAAGAGTGCTCAGTGAATGTAAATGCTTAGTATTTTAGAAACGACATTGGTGATTAATAAAATTTGTTGTTTTGCATTATTAATTTATCCAAAACCACTCTGTGATATGAATAGTCTATCAGAGAAAGGCAAAGTGATAACAGAAGGATGTGTGTATGTGTGTGTGTGTGTGTTATTGTGTGTTTCTGGGTTTTTCTGTGTTTGATTGTAAAACTGTGTACTGTGTGTGTTGTTGAGGGTGAAATGTGTGTCTGTGTATAAAGATTTGTTTTAGGGTGTGTGACTCAGAGTGAGCGTCACAAAGAGGAGATGGGAAATGGACCTTACAGGTTAGGTCGTAAGCTGTCCTATTCAGGCAGGACATAGAGGCAAAGAGAACTCCACCTCCCTGGTACAATCGAGTGACTCAGCGTGATACATGAGTGAATGGTATGCAGACAACTATGGCTGAGCATAGAGTCCTGGGTGATCAGGGATTGAGGCTAAGGAGTGCCCAGGGATGGAGCCATGAATGTCCTTGTGTGCAATGCAAATGGTGGGCCTTGGTCCTCCCAGCAGTGTGTCTGCAGTCTGAGTATCTCAGTTTTCAAGAGCTCCATAATCCTTGTGTCCACTGAGCATAATATGTAACTTGAATACAGAATGTATTTCACAAAAGGGGACCAATTTGAGTGTCCATATTTCCTGATGTGTTAAACATTTATTATAAAGGCATTGCTAATAATTGATAATAGTAAATAGCTGTTACCTTCTATTTCTCAGTCAAGAGGTATTATCACTTTCTGACTATAATTTGAGAGTTGGGTTTAACATTCAAAAACTCCTTTTACTCAAAAGGTGTGTAAACATATAACCTTTAGTAATTCATGGTTGTAGGAGTGAGATCAGATTCACAGGTGGAAGGGAGGGTCACTTTGGTGTCAATGAGGAATATGTACTGCAGGAAAGTATGGCAGAGCCCAGGGAGCCACATAGGAAAATTTGACCCAAGCCAGGCAGGACAGGACTAGTGTGTGATGATGGCTGTGGGGATGGCAAGGAAGGGAAGCTCAGAAGTGAGGCTGTGAAAGCAGTAGGAGCAGAATTCAGTGAACTTTCGGATGTCAGGGGAATGTGAAAACAGTAAACTTCTAAAGCTCTATCTTTTATAATGCAAAAGATACCTGTATTGTAATCCCTGCAACTTGCAACGCTACCTTCATGGTAGAAAAGGACTTCGTCAATATGATAAAACTAGACTCTGACATGGCCTTATTGTCCTGAATTTTTGTGATTGTCCTCTACATGAAACCCCATGTACTTAAAAATTTTATTATTTCCTTATTTATTTGAGAGAGAGAGTGACCTAGAGCCCGAGTAGAGGAAGGGGTAGGGGGAGGTGCAGAGGGAGAGGGAAAAGCAGACTCCCCTCAGAACAGGGAGCTGGAAGCAGGACTGGATCCTGGAATCCAGGATCATGCCCTGAGTCGAAGGCTGAGCCACCCATGTGCCCCACAACCCCATATATTTTATATGAAAAAGACAAAGGGAGATTGACAGGCACAGAAAAGCAGAAGGCAGTGTGACCTCATAGGGCAGAGATCAGAGTGATGGGACACAAGACAAGGAATGATGGTTTCCAGCCATCAAAGCTGGAAGCAGCCATGAACAGATTTTCACCTCAGTCTTCCAGAGGTAGCGTGGCCCTCCTGACACAATGATTTCTGCAAAGTGTTACAGATTTTGCACTCTGTCATCCAAATGTTGAGAAAATAATTGGTGTAAGCCACTAAATGTATGGTAGTGCTTTGCAGCAGCCAGTGGAAACTAATCAGGTGCCTCATGGCTTGGAATCTATTGAGAAAGGAAGGCTCATGGAAGGTAGAGCAGGCTGCAGGCAGGTAGTGTGTATAGTTTTACACATTCACCTGAAGTAACTGTGGAGTCCTGTATGGAGTTTTCCAGATGGCAGCTGGATGCTCTTTCTGGAGCTCTCAGGAGAATGTGAGGGAAAAAGCATTAGCCTGAGGTGTTGATGAGTGGTCTAGGTGTCGATGGGCAATGTGCATGTGCAGAGTCAAAAAGAGTTAACTGAAGGGTGAACCCTGGAGATTCACTAAAAATTGAGAAGTAGATGGAAAACAAAGTACACCAGAGAATTCATAACATTGAATTCAGAGTGAAGGTGTGAGAACCAAGTAGGTTTTTGTGGTTGTGATAAGGACACAATATTAGTGATGCTGCTGGTTGAGAACCACGTTGAGAATTAGGTTGTGGGTATCCTTCTTACAAAACCATAGCAGGATTTTTTTTTTATCATTTATTACCCTGAAACTTCATTTTTGCTGGTGGCCATGTGATTAGGAAATCTATAAAGTGATGCAGGATGATTCCTGAGCAAATATTTCCTCTTTTGGTCCCTGCTCCCCAGGCTGCCATGGGTAACTGGACATTAGGTCTCTGACATTAACTACTGACAACACCCAGTGTCCACTGCATGACAAAAAGCACCCCAACTCAAGGCTGGAGACTGTGGGATAATAAGAAGACATTTATAGTACTGCAGAACAAGTGATTTATTGAAGCAAGATGTTGAAACCTTTACATTTTCCAGAAGAATAAGTGATCATTGCAAGACATACTGTATATAAGGTTCATATGAAGCATTTTTTCAGGATTTCCCCCTGAAACAGATAAAGGAGAGAGCAGTTCAGTCATGCTGCTCCTGGGGATGACACCTTAACACAGACTCTACTCATAAGACATTGCCCGTGAAATTTGAACCAACAAAAGGCAAGTAGAATGGGCACAAGACAGGAAACCAGGGAGGATGGTAAACTAAATACACCTGACACAATTACAACAAATGATGCAAATCAGGAAAGATCCATTTTCATAGTCTGGCAAATAAAGCCTGAGGTGACCCAAGAGTAAGACTCAAGTTTCCAGTGGAAGGAGGAGCAACCCAGTATTTTTTTCTCTGCTATCCCAGGGTGGAGGACTCCAATTTTTCACTGCAGTGGGAATACTGGGGTGAGAGATTGGAACAGGGGTGGGAGGGGACTTTGGGAATACTGCTTTCAGGAGAGTCCCAGGTTCATGGTGTGGAAATTCAACCAGATGGCACATGTCTTCTCAGCACTGAAACCCCAGCCCCCATGGGCATTTATGACTGAATCTTATGTCCTAAATCCACCAGTGGATGGGCTGAGAGACACCTTTAACTATTTTATTTCTAGACCAAGATGTAATTTAAGTGTTTTACCCTCACATGTGACAACAAGAGATAGATGAAGGACGGTTTCTGGACATGGGTACGATAAGGGAGAGCACTGTAGTCAGGGAGTGGTGAAGTGGGCTGAGGTATGGGGAGTAGGTCTTGGTTGTGCAGAAGCTGGCAGAGTGCCCCGCCAGCTGCCCTCCATGCTGACAGAGGACCAGGTTCCCTCCCTTCCAGCTGTCTCCCCATTCAACACTCCCAATATGCCCATGGGATTCTGCTGTGGCTGTGTCCACTCAGAGGGGGAGAACTCGCCCTCAGGAAAGCTTCCAAGTAAGGAGGCAGTCAGGCTTTGGCCCTTCAACATCACTGTTTGGGGCTCCTGGTGTCCTCTCCCTCAGGACATTAGGGGAACCTGGCACCCAGGGAAGTGACCTGAAGAGGAGGAAGGTGCCCAGATGCTCCAGGCAGGCTTAGTGTAGCTCCCCAGGTGTAATCTCATCCACCCTGTGGCCACCGTTCACCCTATCAGTGGTGAGCAAGGAGGAAGATACCTCCACCACCTGTTCCCTTGACAGAGCAGCACCCTTACTGCCCTCCTGGCTGCTCAGCTGAGCAGAAGCCTCTATGCACAAAGAAGAAAGGAATTACCAGTGTGTTTGCAATTAGAATTCTATTCCCAAGGAATATCTTATCTGTGCAATCCTTCACTTCCAACTTGGCCTGAATGGCGTCTTGGGGTAGGTTATATTTCTCACGTGTTTTCTTGTAGATAGCTGCATTTTGAAAGAGAAAGCTCAACGTATCCTCTACTAAGGCTGGGCAGGTAAACGCATTGGCTGGTGAAGAAAAAGAAATACAATCGATATACTGGAAATCACATTTCCCCCATGGCTTCCTGATGTTAGAACTAGACAGAAACCTGGGCGCCTGGGTGGCTCAGTCGTTAAGCATCTGCCTTCAGCTCAGGTCATGATCCCAGGGTCCTGGGATCGAGTCCCACATCGGGCTCCCCGCTCAGCGGGAAGCCTGCTTCTCCCTCTTCCACTTCCCCTGCTTGTGTTCCCTCTCTTGCTGTGTCTCTCTCTGTCAAATAAATAAATAAAATCTTAAAAAAAAAAAGAACTAGACAGAAACCCAAAAGGTTGTATGATCTCATCCCATTATAGTGCCAATGACAATGGGTGAATAGGGAAACTGTGACTTCATAACGAAGAGCAGAGGAGCCAGGACTAGAATGTCAGCTTACTGATCCTTAGTTCAGTTTTTATCCTTTTTAAGTCACATTCCCTCCTTTCCAAAACTCTCCTGGTTTGATGGAATTTACTTTCTTTATATTTCACACAATTACGTTTTGCCTGAATAGTATGACACCGTGTTTTTGTCTTGGATTTTGGGTTAGAGGAGATTTTAAAATCAATTTTTAAGTGAATGGTAGAGTCAGATCTTTCCAGAGAGCAGGGAGCCGTGGGTCAATCTGCAGAAGAGCAGGTCACACTCTTTATATGGTGGAAGATGACAGCCTGAGGCTAAAGAATTGGGTTATGTCACTGGATGCAGATATGGTTAAAAAGCTAAATTCACACATACAAACAAAACCCCCAGGTAATCAGTTTGAATACATTTGAAGCTTATACACAAAGTTATGACTGGCTTTTTTATTCCTGCATGGATGTACAGAATTCCTTAGAGAGGGTGAGAGACAGGGAATGGGGCTCTTTCCTGACTCCAGTGGAACTGTGGGGAGACTTAAAGTGACCACTTTTCTTAATGTGGATTCTCTAACACTCCACATCTTTGTAACCATGCTGTAGCCAGGGAGGTACCCTATCAGGAACTGATCTGACCCCTGATCAGATGTCAAACTATGCAAAGAATTTGAGAGGTTTACATCAGAGGCAATAAAGGGAAAGAGGAAGATATTTAGATAGATGAAATAAAGACGGAAGAAGACTTGGGTCAGTATCAAGGGTAAGAAGACATACAAAAATATTGTGGAATAGATAGCCAGAATTAATCTAGCAAACAGAAATCCCACCCCTCTGAGTGTACTCATTCTATTACAAAATACTGGGAGCACTCCTAGAAAACCAGGAGGACTGGTAGATACAGTGAGATCTACTCACTAGTAGATTTAGTGAGTGCTGCTTATTCCCAGAGCCCCCTTGAAGATTTATTATCAGAGACTAACACTAGCACTTCTGTAAGTGAGAACTCTCCCCATACCATTCCAGCTGTAACATTTAAGTCTGAATCCATGAGTGAAAATGCTGTGGACTCAACTGGCACCTGAAAAACTCTGGGAAGGAGAATGTCTGGGAACTACTAGACATCAGCCTGTAGCCAAACCTAGACCCTTGTCACAGTTAATCTCAGTCCATTGCTATAGCTACTCTAGTGGTATCTGTCAAACCCAAGGATGAGAAGAGACTTGAAGAGATTAAACATTTTGTTGAAGGCCAAAGCACTGGTAAGTGGAAAGGCCATGATTCACACTAAATCTTATGACCTCTTATTTCTGAAATACAAATCACAGATAAGGAGAGAGGCTTCAGTGGAAAACTCTTAAAATTTGCCCACAAGAATTTCTTGTAAAACTTCCAGGTTGTTGGTAACTGACAAAAAGAACCTTGAGCTTGGGAGATGAAGTGGGGAGGAGGAGGGCTAGTACACAAGTGTAGGAAAAAGAGGAGAGCCACTTAAGTTCACCTAGTTCAGAGAAGGATACTCACCAGGGCTGGTGCCTGTCTGATGAGAAATGATACTCACCCTCATAGCAGTAAAGAGCCAGAATGACCAGCAGGACACTCAGGAACAACCTCATTTTGTATTTTCCTTTGAGTTTTCAGCTTTATTGAAAGGTGAGCAATTAGGAGCTGAATTCAGGAGACTGGGGAGCCCAGAGCTACTTATACCTAGGGAACCTCCCTGGTGCTGCCCAAATAAACATGTGGTTAGGGCATGGGCCTGGCTTCCAGCCCTAGCTTCCTTATTGAGTGCTCATGCCTTTCATCAGTGTCACAGACCCCAATGACTTGGTCAAAATTCCTGTTCATAGGCACTGCTGGCTGTATGCACCTCTCCTTTGTAGCAAAAACGGAGGTTGTAGTTTTACAAATGTATAGCCAGGTAAGTGATGTAAGCCCGCCCGCCGCCCCCCGCACCTGAGCATTAGCTCCTGAAATGCAGGGTCAACTTCTGGTTTTGCTCATCTTTACTTAGCATAAGGCCTGGCACACGGGAAAGGAAAAGCAAATATACTTGGGATAAATGATGAATATGAATCACCAAACCACTAAACTTGGTTAGGGTGTATCTTCAGTGGGAATCGATGCCTGGTATGCCAAGTATCCCTTTGGGCAGGTGAGGGAGAAAGGTTAGTAGCATAGTGACCCCAGTGAGAAGAATGAGTGGTTTTCAGTATCCCAAAAGAAGACAATGCCAAGAGGAAGATTACCTCCCCAATACTAATTTCTTATTCTAAGCTAATATTTTAAAAATATCAAAAGATATTTCAAATCAAATCAGGCTCTATATGGAGAAAAAGAAGCTCCTCATTAGTTTTACTTGTCAACTGGAAGGATCACACCTCAGTGTCATCAGGATCCAGGCAATAGGACTCCCCATACTGGCTCTTCCTCTGCCTCTCCCCAATTATGAGCATTCTGCTCTGTGGAAAATTCTTACTAAAGGCATGAGAAGGTCAGTCTGGTTATCCAGAGGAGCATATGGGAGAGCCATTCAAGGGTATATAGAATTCTGAATGGAAGAAATGGCTGGAGGAGGGATCCCAAGGGAACAGCATGAGGGGAGACAAGAGGGCATAAACCATGCTCCTTGGGAATATCAGGTACCTAGGTTACTCTGAAACATACAATACATACAACAGTGTATGGTGGCAGAAGAAAGGCATTGTGACTGGAGAGACAGGATGGGCCAAATCAAGGAGAATTTCCATTGTACTCTGTGGGATGTGGGGGCAGAATAGTGGGTGGGGTGAGACACATCTAGATTTATTGACACTAGTGCTTTCATGCTGGGTTTTAGATGTCTCACCAAAATCACATGGGTTTTTCACACCCATTATGATGGCAACTGTAAAAAAAAAAAAGAGAGAGAGAGAGAGATAAAGAACAAGTGTGGGCAGGGATGTGAAGCAATAAGAACCCTTGTGCATTTTGGTGGGAATGGAAAATGGTGCAGCCTCTGAGGGAAAGAGCCTGGAAATCCCTCCAAAAATTAAAAGGAAAGTTAATATGATCAATCGAGTTCACCTCTCAGTATCTATGTGAAAGAATCGAAAGCAGGGTCTCAAACACATATTTGCATACCCATATTTATAGCAGCATTATCCACAATAGCCAAGAGGTGGAAAGAACCCAGTGTTCATGGGTAGATGAATAGATAAAGAAAATATGGTACATGTAATGTAGGATTATTTACATTCAGCCATATAAAACAAGGAAAGCTTGTCAAGTGCTACAGCATGGGTGATACTTGAGGACTGTAGACTAAGGGAAAGAAGCCAGTAAAAAGAGAAAATAGATCAATGGAACAGAATAGAGAGCCCAGAAATGGACACTCAACTTTATGGTCAACTAATCTTCGACAAAGCAGGAAAGAATGTCCAATGGAGAAAAGACAGTCTCTTCAACAAACGGTGTTGGGAAAATTGGACAGCCACATGCAGAAGAATGAAACTGGACCATTTCCTTACACCACACACCAAAATAGACTCAAAATGGTTGAAAGACCATTTCCTTACACCACACACAAAAATAGACTCAAAATGGTTGAGGGGGGGTGGAGCAAAATGGCGGAGGAGTAGGAGACCTGGATTTCGTCTTGTCTCAGGAATTCAGCTGAATAGGGATCAACAAATTCTGAACACCTATGAACTCAAAAGGAGATCAAAGAAAAGAATAGCAACAACTCTCTGAACAGAAAAGCGACCACTTTCTGAAAGCTTGCAGGTTTTCAGACTGGAACTTAACACCATCTGCTCACCTGGTTCTCGGACCTTCAGACTGGACTAAAACAATAACACATCAGCTCTCCTGGGTCTCCAGCTCACTGAATGGTTATCTTGGGAATTCTCAGCCTCCATAATTTCATCTGTGAATGTCCTATCTTCTGCCAGAGTGGAAACTATTATACCTCACCCACCATGGATTAAGCCTAAAGCCTTCACATTCTTTACCATGATTATAAATAGAAGCTTTTCTTTCTAATAATTTATTCGCTTTAACATATACAATTCCAATGACTAAATCCCAAAATAAAAATATATTTACCATCCAAAAAACAAAATGGTTGAAAGACCTAAATGTGAGACAGGAGTCCATCAAAATCCTAAAAGAGAATATAGGCAGCAACCTCTTTGATGTCAGCCACAGCAAATTCTTCCTAGAAACATTGCCAAAGGCAAGGGAAGCAAGGGCAAAAATGAACTATTGAGACTTCATCGAGATAAAAAGCTTTTGACAGCAAAAGAAACAGTCAACAAAACCAAAAGACAACCGACAGAATGGGAGAAGATATTTGCAAGTGACATATTAGATAAAGGGCTAGTATCCAAAATCTATAAAGAACTTATCAAACTCAACACCCAAAGAACAAATAATCCAATCAAGAAATGGGCAGAAGACATGAACAGACATTTTTCCAAAGAAGACATCCAAATGGCCAACAGACACATGAAAAAGCGCTCAACATCACTTGGCATCAGGGAAATCCAAATCAAAACCTCAATGAGATACCACCTCACACCAGTCAGAATGGCTAAAATTAACAAGTCAGGAAATGGCAGATGTTGGCGGGGATGTGGAGAAAGGGGAACCCTCCTACACTGTTGGTGGGAATGCAAGCTGGTGCAGCCACTCTGGAAAACAGTATGGAGGTTCCTTAAAAAGTTGAAAATAGAGCTACCATATGACCCAGCAATTGCACTACTGGGTATTTACCCCAAAGAAAGAAATGTAGTGATCCAAAGGGGTATGTGCACCCTGATGTTTATAGCAGCAATGTCCACAATAGCCAAACTATGGAAAGAGCCAAGATGTCCATTGACAGATGAATGGATAAAGAAGACGTGGTATATATATACAATAGAATATTATGCAGCCATTAAAAGGAATGAAATCTTGGGGCACCTGGGTGGCTCAGTGGGTTAAGCAACTGCCTTCGGCTCAGGTCATGATCCTGGAGTCCCTGGATCGAGTCCCGCATCAGGCTCCCTGCTCGGCAGGGAGTCTGCTTCTCCCTCTGACCCTCCCCCCTCTCATGTGCTCTCTCTCTCTCTCATTCTCTCTGTCTCAAATAAATAATAAATAAAATCTTTAAAAAAAAAAGGAATGAAATCTTGCCATTTGCAATGACGTGGATGGAACTAGAGGGTATTGTGCTGAGTGAAATAAGTCAATCAGAGAAAGACATGTATCATGTGACCTCACTGATATGAGGAGTTCTTAATCTCAGGAAACAAACTGAGGGTTGCTGGAGTGGTGGGGGGTGGGAGGGATGGGGTGGCTGGGTGATAGACATTGGGGAGGGTATGTGCTATGGTGAGCACTGTGAACTGTGTAAGACTGTTGAATCACAGACCTGTACCTCTGAAACAAATAATACATTATATGTTAAAAAAAAAAAAGAAGAGGGCGCCTGGGTGGCTCAGATGGTTGGGCGTCTGCCTTCGGCTCAGGTCATGATCCCAGGGTCCTGGGATCGAGTCCCGCATCGGGCTCCCTGTTCCTTGGGAGCCTGCTTCTCCCTCTGCTTCTCTCTCTCTCTCTCTCTCTCTCTCTCTCTCCCTCTGTCTCTCATGAATAAATAAATAAAATTAAAAAAAAAAAAAAAAGAAGATAGTAGGAAGGGAAAAATGAAGGGGTGGAAATCGGAGGGGGAGACAAACCAAGAGAGACTATGGACTCTGAGAAACAAACTGAGGATTCTAGAGGGGAAAGGGGTGAGGGGATGGGTTAGCCTGGTGATGGGTATTAAAGAGGGCACGTATTGAATGGAACACTGGGTGTTATACGCAAACAATGAATCATGGAACACTACATCAAAAACTAATGAGGTAATGTATGGTGATTAACATAACATAATAAAATTAAAAAAAAGAATTCAGCAAAAAAAAAAGGGAAAGAAAATACTGTATGATTCCACTAATATGAGGTTCCTAGAGTGTCAGTTTCACAGAAATAGTGAGTAAATGGTGGTTGCCAGGGCTTGGGGAAGTAAAATACCATCTTCAATGAAAATCATGTCATCACATTAACAGTGGGTTGATGATATCTGGAAACATACCACTGTAATCCTCCGTACAGTTTCTTTGGGTTGCAAACCCTCCTGTAGCCAATAATAATAGTGGCAAGAAAATGAGTAGCAGTAATTTTGCTTGCTAGCTATGGCCAGAGAATGTGGAAACATAATTTATCATCTTCAATCATTGCTTCAAATCTACAAGCCATTAGTTTTCCTGTTTAACAGTTGAGTCAACTAACTTGCAGAAGGTAAGAAACTTGCTCAGTCTTGTTCAGTTTGGAAGCCAGTAGGTCTAGCTCAGGCATGACGTTATGTGAGTTAAAAAGTAACAAATTGGTGCTTTCAGTCGGGGGTGGCTGGAGGTGGTGACATGTCAAATGGAACAGAGGTAGATGACAGTGAAGTTCTCTGCTTGCATCAGTTTCTGACTCAACTGAATTCTTCTGGGTGATGATCTTCACTTTCTTCATCTCTCTCTCCAGTTCTCTTCTTTGTTTACTTTTTAAGAATAGATTTATCCATTTATTTCAGAGAGGCAGGGGAAGCGTCCAGAGGGAGAGAGAGAATCTCTAACAGACTCCCCAATGAGACCTAGTCTGACCAAGGGCCAGATCTCAGGACCCCAATATCACGACCTGAGCTGAAACCAAG